CGCCATGAAAAGAGGTCGGCCGAGAAAGCGTTCAGCCGTTTGAGAGAAGACTTTTGAGCGCTTCTGCACCTGCACATGCACACACATACACACACATTGTTTGAGCGTTTATCTATAACTTTAATGATAAGCAGATTGAAATCTGAATTGAAGTTCATAAACAAATGACGAGTGCAAGGTTCAGGTGGGTTTCATTCTTCAACGGGCTTCCCGTGGTTCCGGCAGTAAGCCTCGCCTAGTGGATGCTCATTGGACTGTTCCATGTTGTTGTTGTTCTAAGGATGATCTTAGCGTGTGACTACGTGGTGAGTTCGTTTACGCTACCTTTTGCTGAACATCGCAAATGCTAGCCATATGTACAGCCTCCAAAACCGGAAGAGCTTATAATTGCGAAGGCGGAGTATCCACTAGAACCACGATCGAAGAGAGAAGCATCCTGGGATTGGATAAGGATCGAAGTTGTACACGACCCTTCAGTCTACCAGTGAGCTACGTTAAACTTGATCAAACCTTTCTTCCTGGAACCTCGAGGGAGTGATGGGTGAGGACAGACAGCCCAGGGAGAGGATGATGGAGGGTGGGAGTGACAAATTAGCTTGCATTCCTCAGCAAGCACTCTTAAAAAGTTGGCATTCTGAAATCACCACGTTAGCACCGAATCGTGCATTTAATCGCAGGGTAATAGATGAGGGGGCTTTTTTGAAGTCCCACTACAGTTCGGGACCTACATTATCTTATCACACCTGCAAGCACCTCTGAACTTCGCCACATGTCTATTTTATGATTTACAGGCTCACTGAAGAGAAAAAGGAGGTGCTAGAAGATTTGGTAACTGCCGCTCGCGATTATTTTGAAACTACAATCAAAGTGCATCGTATCGCCGCCATGCAGTTAAATCCGTGAGTAGAATTCTACGACTATTCATTGTCTAGGTACTACTATCGATCAGAAATGTGCGGGTTTGGATATGCTCCGGCAAGATTTGATTTGTGATTTTTTTTCCATGAGGTTATAGGTTGTCTTGGTGTTACATACCAGGATCATTAGTCTCTTCTCGATCACTTGAATATTTTCCCGTATTTATTGAGAACAAAAGGACTTCGTTTTCGCAATATTCTTATTCTTTTTGCAATATTTCTATAACTGGAATGCCCGAAGGGCATTTGATGGCAAACACAAACAAACGAACAGCAAACAAATAACAAAAGCGTCTCAGTCCGCTCACGAGTCTGAGATTTTTTAGCAGCTGCACCGGCAGAAAATGGAAATTCCGTGATAAATTTAAGTGCCTAGGACAGTGTGAAAAGCGATGCGGAGGAGCTGTTGCACCCCAGACCGCTGCCTATTTTCAGGTACGTTTTTCGACGTATGTGGGCTGCTTGGGTGAAGCTATGTGGTAAAGACTCAAAGAATGAACCTCTATGGCCTCGTCTTTGTAGATGTATAATAAGGCGAGGGACCGCTGGTCCCCCTTAGTCTTGAATTTTCCTTAGCTATTATGTGACGTTGTGGACCATCATAATCAGAAAATCCGTCGGCGTATTTTTTGTGTGGGGAACAAACTGGAGAATCGGCTAATCTTGGTAAATGAGGATTAAGCAGAGAAGCCCATAAGAGAATTTATGCAGCAGCCACCCATATGGACGAAAGTCCTTTAGAAAGGAAGTTTCTGAAAAATTGTACACAATCATTGTTGAAGTGAACAGTTCTCCTATTGATTTGACTGATTGATTTTTTTAAAATGTTCAGTGCTGTACATGCGTAGGAATGAAGTGCGTCACAGACCAGAGCATTTGTGGAGGTAAGACTTTTCCTTCGCTGCACATTCCAATATCCGAGAAAATTTGAAGTCCATGGGAGCCGTGTCAACAATCAATTCGGGAGGACCTGGCCTTAGCTTGGTTTGATAGTGATACAGTCAACTGTGTTTTTCACCGAAGTTCACACTTAAGAAAAGTTCAGGAAAAGGCCAATGTGGAGAAAAAAAAGGCGCCCTGATACGTGAGCTTCGGTGGAATCCATAGGTGGCTCTATCATCATTTAACACAGTGTATAGTGGTATAATGCGTTTCTTGAATCTACTTGACAGCGTAGCAATCTGTTAGGCGACGAGGTCATTAGAGAAAAAAACTCCCCATTGCCAAGCGATGAGTTTTAGAAAACGGAAAGATTTGAAGCAGAAAAGTTCATAGATCTACACCACTCCCGCCCTCTTTTAAAATGTAGTTCAGGTCGAATTTCCTTATGATTACTTTAACAATTAGCGTTAAGGAAAAATAATCGACACTGACTTTGTTCTTTTTGTATCGTTGTTGGAGGATCGTTGTGGCAAGAACACGTTAGCCTATGCTGCGCATTGTGGAAATGACCCAATCACCAACAGGTTTGTTTGAAAGATACGAATTTTTCACCAGCTCAAAATGAAACTGAGGCTCAGATCCGCAAAACATCATGTGTAATATCCGGTAGTATCCGGGCAAATCAAGAAAAAGTCACTCAACTTGAGACGGACACTTTTCTGGTTGTACATAATTGAGGTTCAAAAGCACAGCTCAGGATAAATTCGAGTTGTATGGCTTAAGTAAAACAATGGAGGTTGAGGTTAGAAATAGTGAAAAAATGGCAAAGAAGGAGCGAAAATCAGCAGATTCTGAGAAATATAAGGCCTCAAAAACTATTGAGAAATTAGCTGTATGAGAATATGCGCCTGTAACGATTTGGATGTTTCCCACATAAACGTCTATTCGTCGGCGTCGTAGGCTTCATTACGAATGGTACAGCGTCATAACACCCTCTTTCAAGTGTGTACGTCGGCCAAGCCATCTTGAGCCCTGAGAACGCCTTGCCGAGATCGTCTTTGTTCCAACAATGTCCCAAATGCCTCGGGATACACAGATATCTCAGAAACCATTATTACCATGAACCGAGCCTTTATTCCGTCGATAATATCCTCAATCGTTATTCATTTTCTCATTGAAAAAATAGCAAAAATTGAGTGGAATGGCTGCATTGTTCGACTCTCAATGAACCTCGGCATAGTTCCAATACAGCTTGAGCTGAGGGGAATGGAAAAAAGATAATGTATCTGGAATCTCCATAAGTAGATCTTTCCACTAAAGTTATTTACATTGTGATTCAATCACTTCAGTGAAACCGAATATTTGTGACTGATTGATCCTTCGCAAGCATCGCAAACCTTCGGTTTCGTCGGTTAACCACTAACTAGTAGCATTATTGAATGTTGTCCGGGCTTTTGCATCTTACTCAAAACTTAGTTTGGCGAAATTTGAACGGTGATGAGCTCAATATTGCAAATCTGGAAGGTTTCATAATGGTGAACGTTTGAAATTATAAGTCAACCTTAATGATTCTCTTTCAATTTAGGCCGGTAGCCGGTCATGTGAATATTTGTCTATCCAAGTTCAAAACGATGAAATCAAATGAGTTCGAACAGTGGTTGGCCACCCTCAAGCATGAACTCATCCATGCATTCGTATTTGCTCCACCGCTCTTTCGATTATTTCCGAACGCTGGAAGACCTGCACGGTAGGAGGTGTCAACGTTTTATTAGAGGTAACATTCAGAGACTGCGGCTCGTGCGACATTGAGTCTCCCCAAGCAGTTTTTTGAGAACCTGGTAACATGTAAGCGTGCTTTGTGAAAGAAAGCATTTTTGTTATTGCTGTGATTTTCTTGCCCATCAGTGGTCTTCCTGAAGTTTCTATGCAACTCCTTGCTAGATCATTTTGCTGTCGACGAAATGATCAACAGCTTGTGTTGTGCTGTAGTGAGATCGCTAGTCCACTTTTTGGTGTGAACATTACAGAGGGCTTCATCAGAGCAGAGCAGAATCCCATTCGTAGAGGCTATGTAGGCCGAGTCCTAATTCACTCACCTTGTTGCATATTGTTAGCTTATTGTTCTCAGGGGGTAGTGGTGATGTAGCGGCAAGTGGTGCACCATTACACACTTAAGCTCAGGGGATCGAGTACCGCCCACGCCAACCAAGCCTACCATCTTTCTAGGTCCCGATAATAGGTACCAGACTCGATCGATAGGATAGCGAACATTGACTTGATTATAGACTGCCTATTGCAAGCCATTGTGTACCCCAATTAAGCATTAAAACAGAGCCATTGCGATTATAAATGGAAGTCGAGTGTGAGGCGCATCGCAAGAAGGGTTTGATAAAATCCCCTATGCCATACGATGCCAAAGGCTCTGTTTTCTTGCTCTTTGGAGCACTTTATGTATTCGGCCCGTAGATAAAGAACAAGAGTCAACATAGTTCAAAGAAAGCTAAATATTCACTTATAGAGGGAACTACAAGCGCAAGCCCTCTCTGATTGATGCACTTTCCAAAGTAAGCTAATCTTCTCGTCGAATAAGCCTGGGGTTCGAGAAAAGCGGATCTGTCATCTGTTCTGATCTGTTGGTGATTTTTCAAAGTTTTCCGAGTTACTGATTCGTTTCCACCACGGTAAATGTAAAGCATGGCCGCATGCAATTCCGTCACGTGGCTCGAACCTCATGCACAAGTCCTCGCGAGCCCAATTTGATTAGCATAGCCGCAAGCATTGAATAGATAAAAGAATGTAGTGATGATGTTGTGAATGATAAAATGCCTCATTCTCAACAGAGATGAAAACGATTTGATGACACTGGTACCTAATGTTGTCCATCGGTTCATGCGGTTCAATTGGGAAACTTTGAAAGGACCGGTGAGCGGGAAGTACTATTTTGTGTTACTTGGTAGATAAAAAGTTTTTTCTTTTATCTACCAAGTTTCTTTCGTTTCTTAACATTCAAGCTGAACAAGTAAAATGTGATCAAGTGAATCTTAAGGCTGCACATGATGTGTATATGATAGTCACACCAAAAGTTCGAGAGGAAGTTCGACGGCACTTCAACTGTTCGACCTTGGAGGGAGCAGAATTGGAAAATCAGGGTGGCCGCGGAACGGTAGGCGCTCACTGGGAGAAACGCATTTTTGAGGTGAAATTGTATTTCCACCTTAACAGCAACTTATACGATTGATCTGATATGGTGTAGAAGAGAGCAGGAGAAAGTGATGAGAAATGACTTACATCCAATCAGTTTCTCCTCCTGTTTCCATTCCTTGATCAGCTGACATATATCAATACAAAACTTGCAGTCAGGTGGATTTATAAATTATTGAATGCACGGCTGAGGCTCGTGGAAGCCAACACCCTGTTGGTCCCCACTTCCATTACGTTGACTCCTCCGGGCCTTAGGGGCAGGGTAACACTAGTTTTTCTTCTAACTCGAATCAACAGGGACAATTCCAAAGCAACGGCTGCAGACGAATCTCACAGATTCACTTTCCAAGCATTGTCAAAGCACCCACATGCGTGATCCTCTCCCCATCCTCTTTCTCCTTTTAGTTTTGCAGGTCAGGTCTTACTGCATCAATTTTTGAATTTTAAAGTATTATAGTTCAGCAGCACCAGAAAAAAAAGACGAATACTTTGATTCAGTGGGGGTTTCCAGAATGAGGCTATGTCTGGTGTTGCTACACAAGTGTATGCTCTATCTCGTCTCACCTTGGCATTATTCGAGGACTCCGGATGGTATAAAGTGAATTACGAGTGGGTCATTCCTCTTAGCTCATTGAGTTTAATTGAGTTTGATCTTTTGTCTGTCTAGGAGCCCCTCTTTCACGCCAACGAAAACGATGCATCGTTTCAGTAAAGCCGAAGATATGCCGTGGGGACGCAATCTTGGTTGCACCTTTGCAAAGAAGAGTTGCTTGACGTGGATGAAGTTGAACCCTACAAATCCCTATCCATTTTGTAGAGTTTACGAAGACTCCAGGTTAGCGGTGTTTTCATTGGGTATACAAAATTGGATAAAATCTCCATAATTTGATTAGAGAAATCAGTAGAGGAACTGATGTTGGTGAGATTTTGAGAAATCAGATGAAGCTAGGAGCATTCTCAATTGGGTATGAATTCTAGCATCTTGCAAAATCGGCAGAGTACATGCGAGCACAGTGAAGCTTTGTCTGTGGGTGGGAGTGGGGGGGNGTGTTCAAAGCAAAGCTCCAAATCTGGTTTCACTATAGCTCAGAAATCTGAAAAAAATGCAAACATAAGGAGTGGATAGTCTATTAAAACGTAAAGAGCCATCAGGGTATACGCAATGGACGGATCTCTTTGCAATAGTGCTTCCAACGTAAATTCATAACGCGATTCTATCAGGGCGTGAGTCAGCTCCCAAAAACCCTTAAAACCAAGCACGATCTAAGGTTTTCTGAACAAGTCTGAACTAAGCAGAGCTCGGCTTGTAATGTGCGCAGTGTGCTTCCGAACGTAAGGTGTATAAAATTATAACTCTGTTCAGAGACATTCCTTAAACAGGGCAAGAATGTGAATGGCGTCGAGAAGTCCGAGCCATTGATCGTTCACCCTGATTTTAATAAACGAGCAAGAATACATAAGTCGGGCGGAACTAAGATCAAAATTCCCCAGTTTTGTTCAAGTCCATTCTAAAATCGGTGGCAAAAGTGAATAACGGCTCGGTAGAGCGCAGTTCCCGTAAAGGGCAGAGTATGCGATGTAGACGGCCAAAAACAAGACAAAAATCCAACTGCAGTCGGCAGCCTCAGTCAATCATAAAATGAGGAGGAGCTTCACCACTTCTGACCGCTTGGGTAATGGTTGCAACGTATTTGAAATTGGGTCATGCAAAGCTTCATTATAGCTTTGCAACACGTGTTCATGATATACACTTGCAGGTGTAGTGAAACGCGATCAGAAAAGGTTCTATGTACGCTTAGGACGGGTGCAGAACCACTTCCGCTAGAGTACAACTATAATATTGATCAGATCTACCACGACAAGAAAGGGCAGTCAGTTTTTGGATATGGAGGAGTGACTATAGCAGATTACTGTCCTTATTACAGAGTAAGTTCTTCGTCTATTTGCCGTCGAGATATCGGTCACGTATTGGAAATTGGGAAAGCTTCAGTTGGATCTGATTTAGGATGATGAAAGACAAACGTTTTTCTTCATATTCCCAGAACCAGGCCCCGGAGAAACAGGAGACAGTACAACTGCAGAGGCGTTGAGTAGTAGAAGGACGTTTACTCTTTTTCACGCTCGGACCTGGCTGCTTTTTTTCTTGAAAACTGCTTTATCAGCGGATACTCTACACTTCGCTTCGTCATAGGCAAAGCGTTTCATCTGAACGTTACTTTTTTTTACGGTGTCATTAGCATTAAGAGCTGCAAAGGTGATCAGCAATTCGTGGAACAAATCAAGAGGAAGTAAAATACTGCGCCTTCTTCCATGATGCTGCTCTCTGGTGTACTAACAGTAGCACTCAATGCTGTTTCTGTTCTAGTACCAGTCGGCTCCCCCGGCTAACACCGAGCTTCCCTTCTTCTTCGATGAAGTTGTAGTAACCAGCTAACTCACTACTCCTTCTTTGAAACAGGCGAGTGTTGCCTGTATACGAATTCTGACATAGGACTAACAGAGCAGTGGAAATTGTATTCAATGTAAGTCGGTGCTCACGCCTCCAATTGGAAGTCTTGATTTCTTGGTCTTTTTCTCAGAAGGAAAGACCCACCAAAGATTCAAATGTTGGGTAACAAAAGCCTTAGGCGGTACTCGCAAATGTTTCGAGTGATGATAACATCTTTATCAGTTGTCGTTATCAACGACCCTTCTTCTTTACGAAAATATCATTATTGTCGTAGTGCCGCTAATGGATCCCTATCACTGCACTCACCACTCGCACTTGTGACCCTACTCTACCATCCCGTCTTACCGAGTGAAACACCCTGAACAGTCGAAGCTGCATCGTAAATGGCGAAGGGTTAGGATCTTGATCGATAGGTGGCTCTTGCTCTATTGATCTCCTTATCTTCTCCTATCAGTTGTCTTCGGTTCCTGTCACCGAGTACCTACGACCCCGTCATATCCCTCATCCCTTAGCGGAATGCTCAGGTTCCACTGTAAATACCAAAAGCTGTAATCCTACAAAATTCGAACTCTTTATGTCCACGGGTACAGGAACTATGAATTTCCGCCCGGCCGTTTATTTCGAGCTAAGCCCGCCCGTGTAGGCGGAAACTGCCCCTGCAACCTGCCATAAGTGTTCTTATCCTGCTTTTCTGTACTCTTACCAAGTTTCAACGTTTCTCGGTTCCCTGGAACCGGAGCTATGAATTTGCGGTTAAAATTTTCTATCGCTCATGCTCCCTGTTAGCAGAGTCTGGTTCTGCCACCTGCCATGAGTGTTCCAGTCCCGAAGCCTGTACTCTTACCAGGTTTTGAAGTTTTAGGTCCATCTTAACAGGAATTATGAATTATCGGTCGAAAATTTTCATGGCCTTTGAATTTTTGGTCAAGCTCACATACCGACACACACACANAGTCCTGAAGCCTGTACTCTTACCAGGTTTTAAAGTTTTAGGTCCATCTAAGCAGGAATTATGAACTATCAGTCGAAAATTTCTATGGACTGTGAATTTTTGGTCAAGCTCACATACCGACACACACACAAACCTACCGACAAACCAACAGACACACTTAGCTAAGTACCTCTCTATATATAAAGCGGTAAATTTGTGTGTCTTTTATATGCCCGTCTGTGCGTTCTTCCAAAAGTCACGCAGTTCTCTAACAAGCCATAGGTAAGCGGTAGTGGGCACGCGTCAGCGTGCATAGCCCAGCTGGTTCAATATATAGTAGGATACTCTATTTTCACATAATCGGGTATCTATCGAATGGTACTTTTCTGCACCATGTAGCAACGGGCTCTCGATTTCCAAAAGCTTGAAATGTAACAGATGACTCAGCCGTCAAACGTATGCCTTTCACAGCCACCTACATCTTACTATTGTATATATATGGTGAGATGTCTCACCGCTAACGTTCAGGTAGACTTTGTTGTGGCCCCGTCGGCCTGAATGCCGCGGATTGTTGACAATACAAAGAATGTGAGGAACCCATGCCTAATGGTTTACACTTTAGATTTACAGTGTTGTCACAAGCGAGGCCAGCGATACTAGATGTACATTTCCTGGTAATGCGAACTATAACAATTATTCGTTGGAGGTACGTAGACGTCAATAGATTTTTAATAGGATTGACTCGGCTATATCGGTGCATGTGCCAGATTGGATCTGGAAGGTGAAGTCGGGATTCGGGTGAAATAACAGCTCGGCTACCATTATCGTGTTTTGAAACAAGAGTCAAAGTTTGACCTCCCTTCTTACTACGCCTTTTCAAGATTATTCATTACTATTCTCCTGATGATCTATGAGGCTATAAGCAACAGTAGGCTCCAAAGGGAGCCGGTACTGGTTACTGTTGACTACTGTCTGCAAGAGCAAAAGTAAAACTAGAGTTCAGCCCAAAAATACAATGCAAGTGTAACGCAACTTTAATGCATTTTACAGATATTCTCCCCGACAGCTCGTTGCTTCCAGTTGGACGAAGGAGGTATAGAAGTGGGAAACGAATTTTCGACTTATACATGGTTACATAGCGTTGGTTGCTATGAGGTGTGTTGCAGTGGAAATTGAATTATGGAAGGAAACGCTGAAAAGCGAAAATCGTAGTGTCGGAGCAGCCTAACTATGAAGGCGCTAAGGAGAGTCTTAGAAATTACTGCCTTGCTCAGAACCACGGTAACGCTTGTGACGTCAACCTCAATCTAGCGTTTTTTGTTACGAAGATGTGCACAAGATGCTTTGTTTATAGAGGCTCTCTGATATGGCATCACTTTTTCCCCCTTTGGTAGTTTCATACGCAGAGAAAGAAAAATGAAGGCCTCCCTTCCATTCTATTTGTGCTACAACAGCATCCGTCGATTCATGCGGCGCCAGAAATTGGCGTGTGGTCGACGAATCTATCCGAAGCATAAGACCTAAGGCACAATGAAAAAAGTAGGGAGATAATTTTACGATTTCAACATCACCCGATTTCGGGCGGTTTCTGACCCGAAGGTAGATAGGAATTTAATTTACTCTATGATTGTAGAAAATAAAAATGCCATGTTGCATGCTTTTCAAACAAGCCGTGCACAAAGAACGTTACACAATTTCGTCTACTTGGAACAGATGGAATATTTCAAATGTGACCCTTGAAATCTCCGCTGTGAATGACAATTATACCTTTCAGAGCATATGCAAAGACAACATTCTAATGATCAAAACGCAAAATTCGGAGTTTTACCCGTGCTACCGAGAAGGGCAAATGATACACATCGAAAAGGTATCGAAAAGCTATCGGTTGTGCGTTTTAAGCTTCAAGCGTCTCGGAAATGATGGTGAGGTTATCAGTAATCAGCCTAAATTCGCTTGCGAATCCCTTTCCACAGTCTCTATTTGCGAGACCTTACAGGCTTTACACAAAGTACTGGGCAAAAGGGTGGGTCCCATCGTGGGATTTCGCGTCCATTTTATGTATGCCGTTGCCATTGAAATGTTTACGTTGCCTTTTCGATGTAAACACACAACGTTATTTGTTGGCAGTTACACATGGAGCCTCTCGACCTGACAATGAGATGCAACTAATAGGTTATATAAAAAGTGAGAGAAGAGGCATCATAGAACTCGGTTCAGGAAAGCCCAAATTGCTCCACGCAGTCAAGCCACTAAAGCTTCTTGCATTAAGTTCAGATCAACTATAGCGTATCCCTATTCGCTTGGGGTAGAAGAAGAGGTGTTGAGCTAAAGTGGGAGCCCTTAACTTACTGCATGACTTGGGCACTAATTTGAATTTTCACAAGGGCTAGGATGACGGAAAGTTGATGTATTCACGTCACAAACACTTGATTTTCTTTGTTTGTTGTGATTTTCCTTTTCGATTCAGCGTTTACATGGTATTGGCACAGTCAAATTTCGAATCGTCTGTCCGCCCTGCCGAGAAATCTGCAGCCCTCAATTCTGTGCGCCAGATAGATTTGAAATGGGACGAATTGGTGACTTCACAAGAACTGTCGTCAAGTTTAGAGCACAACCAGTTTTACTAGCGCTACTGATGTTACTCTTGTACACTTGATACTTAACCTCATGCATTCCTCTATGTTTATTGTTTTTTGTCGTCAAATATACAAAAAGCTTAAAACATCCATATCAAATGTCATTAATTTGTTCTCATACGCACTTGTTTTTGTACTTTGTTGACATTGTTTGCGGTAAGAGTTAAAATTGAATAAATTAATTACTTCCATTTTTTAGTTTGTTAAAAAGGATGAAATCTCTGAAGATGTGCACAACTTTCAACAACGACTTCTTCAAGCGGGACGTTTTCGCGACTTGATTGCTATACTCCAATAGCCACGCCGACACAAACATGTGGATCAACTGCATCAATTGTTGTCCAACTGATCATCGATTTCTTCGAGTGGGCGCCAGTAATGTCTCCATTCGTCCCTGTCACGAGCCAGAGTGGTCCAGTGAATCGTCCCCAACATTCCTTTCGTTCAAGCTTTCCGGAAGAAGTCTGACCATCGGGCTGGCGGCTATACCGGTCAGTAACAGCCTTGGTCCAACGGTCATCACTATATCGCATAACATGTCCGGCCCATCTGACCTTCGCTTTCTTGGCGTAGCCAACGGCTTCTCTGATCTTTGTTCGATGACGGAACTCGGAACTAAGGATTTCCTTATGTACTTGCGTGTCTAGGGTGAACACGAGCGTCTTTCTTTCCAAAGCGCGTGGGGAGCGCTGCAGCATGCTCATCCTGCTTTCGTAAAGTCCAAGTCTCCGAGGTGTACGTCAAAGCAGCAATAACAGCGGTGTCGAAAAGATGAGCGCGAGGCAGGATTTTCTTTGTATTTTTCACTACTCGCTCGATATTTTTGAATGATCCCCTCGCGGCGCGTTCCCCTCTGCACCGCTCGGGGGCGAGGTCGTTCATCATGTTGAATTCCCGACCTGAATACATTCAGCTAGAGCATTCGGAAATATTCGCTCCGCTCAGTGTGAAGGGAGATCATGTGCCGATCCGTTTTGCATGAACATTGCCTTCACTAAGTTCACTCTCAAGTCGATCTTTCCACACGCGCTGTCAAACGGCCAGCATTCGTTCCACCTTCTCGATGTTCGGTGTTATGAGCACGATGTCGTCTGCAAAGCGGAGGTGATGTTGACGGCGGCCGTCGAACTTCACTCTCAAGTCTTCTCATTCCAAAAGACGCATTATATTTTCGAGAGCGGCACTGAAAGTTTGGGCGAAATAGTGTCGCCCTGAAGGACACTTCTCTTCACGTTGATAATGATTTCCTTGTAGAATAGTGGAATTCTGGTCGTGAAATAGACGTAGAGCTCACGAAGCATCCTTATATATTGGTTGCTTCAATTACCGCTTCTGTCTCAACAGTATCAAAGGTTTTCTTCAATTCGATGAACGTAGATTATATCGCCATTTTGTACTCCCGCGATACTTCAATGAGTCTTGTAACGGTGTGGATGTGATCTATTGTACTAAACACTCTCCTAAACCCTTCTCGCTCGCACGGCTGCCCTTCATTCAATATTCTGCCAGTCTTGTTAAGGATGACTCCTGTGAAGAGTTCATAGATTTCAGGCAGCAGGGCAATTTGGCGATGATTGCCAATGTTGTCTAGGTCTCCCTTCTTAGACAGCAACACGGTGCTAGTTTTCCACAACGTGGACACTTTGCATTCAGACAGGTACCGCGTGAAGGGCTCAGCCAGAGTTCTAACGAAACTGGTGGATGACTTTTCAGATGTTCTGGTGTGATCCTATCCGAATCGAGCGCTGTACAGTACTTCGTCGACGTGATGACATGTCCTATTCCGGAAAAAGAACCGAAGGAGCGATATATTCGTCTTGCTTGAGGTGGCCTGTAGGCAGGTAGACGTGGCTGTCGAAGGGATCCGAGTAGAAGTCGTAAATGACCTCCTCCATTGCCCTTTGAGATGCAGTAACTGTTCCGTCAGGACGACGAAGAGAATCCATATTAGTCTTGTGATTGTCGAGGATCCGTCGGGCTTACCGAACACTTTTATACGGCCAACGAAACGGTTTTATAGGCAACGAAGATGGTTAGAGTCGGGGTTGATCCGCATCTTCTTAATCGCAAAAGTCCGATTCGGGTTGTCGAGCTTCCATAAGGATCAATTACCATGGCCGTGCGTATTGACGAGGATACTTACGCCGGCGACGCATCTGGTGTCGCATGTTCCTAGAAGCAGTTCTCCTTCAGCGGATTTTCAATTCTTATCTTTAAGCAGGTTTTTGCATGAGATAGCTTTATTGGAATGAGGCCCATTTTTATTAATGTTTCTGAGTGAATACCCAACGTTTAGCTTGCCAGGTTCTGGCATGAACGCTAGGTTGACTCCGGGGGCTTGCCAGGCTATCCCGAAATTTGAACGGGGCTTTGTTTTTGGAGGCGACCCCGAATCGCCTCCTAGATACTTCCCGGTCACTCGAATGCAAGCTTTTGGCTGAGTCGATGGGCAGGAACCAAGTGCACCCACAGACTCTCCACACGCGTATGCGTGGATACGCCTGCGAGAAACGGAAGGTATATTGACCAGTGCAGCTGAATCAGGGAATCCATCCCCTGAATCCTGCGTCTCTGGGCAAGTATTTTGGCGACTTTTGGTCGGCAATTAATTCCCACATCCGCCACCCAGAGACGCCCTACGTAGCCTCGTTGCTAACCGGCTGGGATCCTCCAGTGAGAGAGAATCCTCACTCAGTGAAAGGAGATCCGTAGAAACATGTGAATATGGTCGAGTATAAAGTAGGCTCATTGTCAGCTAGGCTTTGTGGTTATGTACACATTTTCTGCCTACTACCACCCTCGTCTTTCGAATTGAACAGGACGTACGTTCCAATAAAGATTATTCATCATAACTGATGACCGTTAGCGATAAACTACCGTTTCTAAGCGGAAGGGACTCTTGGCGTTGCTCTACAGCACACCCTCGCAATCGGATGATCTTATTCTTGATAAGTAGAACGGAAGCGGACCCCACAAGAAATTCTCCAATCATTACGATCAGGCTGGAATCGATCGGCTTTACCTCGTGATCAGGTATCAATATTGAACAAGCATAATCACCAGAGAAGCTTAACCAGCTCTTAACAATCCTCATGATAAGCTGATTAAGGCTCAATATCAACAAACAACGAGTTCAAGATGAAGGTGTGGTTCATTCTTTAATACAGTCTTCGTGAACCTATCAGGCAGCCTCGTTTCGTGGATGAACTTAAGACTGCTTCATGCTACTCTAGCAGTAAGGCTGATACTAGCGTGTGACTACGTGGTAAGTTAGTTCGATTACACATGCTTTTGCTAAAAATCTCATAAGTACGCTGTACAGCCTCCAAAACCGGAAGACGTTATCATTGCGAAGACGGAGTATGCAGCAGGATCGCGATCAAAGAGAGAAGCAGCCTGGGATTGGATAAGGATCGAAACTGAATACGACTCTTCATTCAATCTGTGAGTATATAATCTGTTTAGAGGAAGATACCTGAACCTTCAGTAGCTGCTGTTTGACGCCAGCCAGAGTAGGAGCGGATTGAAGTGGAAGTGTGTTTGGTAACGTGGCCTACGCCCTCGATCACCTAACGAGCCATCGAGTCTCTCCGTCCGAGTGCACCTCACCATGTCAAAATCTCTGATAATGATAGTTCCATATGTAACCGCTATATTGGCACCGAATTGAATGAATAGAAAAGTGATTGTGTGAAAGGCGTAAGAAAGAGAAGCGAGAGACAGTTTATGATGAGCAATGGACGCTTCTTGGTCTGCTGAGAATCAGACTGATGTTTGCGTGTCCAGGGGTTCCTCAAAAAACCAGGTCACTCTGAGCTAAGCCTTCGCTCATTGCAATTCCTTGTTAGTGACTTCGAACTCACGCCCACATGTGCTATACCCCAAGCATCTTTAGCTAATCCATATATTTCTGGCCTTACAGGCTTACTGAAGAGAAGAAGGAGCTGCTAGAAGATCTTATCACGACTGCTCGCGATTACTTCGAAACTACAGTCAAAGTACGCCGTCTCGCCAGCATACAATTAGCTCCGTGAGTTCTAGAATTCTGTAACTAGGCAAGCTACATAAAAAGCGGAGTCAAACATGTCTTTGGAGAGAATCGCTCATCGTCCAACATTGTAATCTTTTTTCCTCTCTTCTACGAAGTTGGCATCCAGCGCAACACCCTCCTCCATCGGAGTAGATCTCAAGCGATCTCAACGTGGAAAAGGAAGGCATCCAATGCCTTCTTTTTGCACGTTTTCTGAAATTCTTTGTGCTCTGAATGGCAACTAAGAAACGTAGCTCGCGAGGAAGAGGGAAAGCTGGTGAGATCAAAATCTCTCCTCTTCACAGGAAGAGACACTACGTTCCATTGACGAAAGTACCCTGATATGTGCTTGAGCCACTTAGCAATCAGGGACGTGAAGCCTGAAAGTGGTCGTGTAATGCCGGCCTTGTTATTATTGCAATACATTTAGGTAAGACGAACAGTAAGGGAGAGACAGGCTCCCAGAAACTCTTTGCTACTTCTCTAGAGTCCATGTTTTTTCAAATTAAGCAATGTTCTTTCTCCTCGTTACCCTGGCACTATTCCGCACAACGGTGTCCATCCATTGTTTTACAAAAAAATAAATACCTCAAAATTACCGTAAACTGCGCCTTCGAGTGTGTGCTTCTGAAAAGACTAGGCCGCAAACGTCTATTCCATTGCAGAGCTGTGATTAACATTTTGTTCTTCTTGGGTAGAATATAATAGGCTTCGTTGTGGATCTTGCCACAGGTATGTAAATCTGATCGAAAGCTGATCGAAAGGGTCGAACTTGCCGTTTAGTGCCAAGTACAGCACTGAAGGGCTTGACACAAATTGCTGCATCTTACTGCATTATTATATGCTTTGATCTCATTTCACTCGATGGTCACTGCCACTTATCCGAGTGATCACTATCTTGAGTACCCTCTGGAAACTATTAAAAAAGCCTCTCGGACGTATTTCTCGAAATCCTTCTCATTACACTTCTCACGTTTCAAAATAGTCGGCAATCCAGTTTCACGTTTTCTAGCTATTATATGTAGTTCACGTTATCTACACCTTCCGTTGCCATCTTCTATATCTTGAAGGTTTACTTCAATCGGTCGGTTTATCCAAACAAGTCTCCGACATGAGAGGCTTCGTCGATTAGTGAAATGGTAGCTTGATCCTAGTAGGATCTGGGAGGACACAAAAACTTAGTCGTCCGAGTGTGCATAGCAACTCAACATTCACCAACGCTTTTCTTCAGCAAAATTCCATAAAACTTGTATTTGTACCAACTTATTACTTGATTGAAATCGATAGATTTGATCACTTTGCAGCAGCTGCCAAGGGCAGACGCGAAAGTTCCCAAATGACACTTACCTATGTGCAGCAGACTGTGAAAAACGATGTGGAGGAGCTATTGCGTCACAAGACGCTCACTATTTTATGGTATGTACGTTAACGTGATTGGGCCGTTTCGATATCTTTTCTGAAGGAAACATGGCTCAGAAAGGGTCTGATGGGCTTAATTTCAATCAGACTTTTTTGAAAAGGAGTCACCCCAGGCGACGTGAAGTTCTTTGTAGTTCATTTTCTGTTAACCTGTGAAAGTCTATAGAGTGCTGGTCGGAATTGCCAGGCAATTAAACAGCAAATTATTCATTTGTTTGCTCTTTTTCCATTTTCGTTTAGCACTGTGTATGCTTGGATATCGAGTGTCCTACAAAGCAATACAATTGGGGAGGTACGTCTAATTTTCGTGCTTAAGCTCCTGTTTATATTCAATTTTGAAGACCATCTGGAAGTTAAAAGTAAATGGGCTATGTGCGATGTAAAGAAATGGTCCTAAACTAGCTAATGTATGAGATGGAATGCTGTTTAGAGCTTTTTCAGAAGGCCTGGATATGTGGGGCAACTTACCCATTGAAATATGGCGTCTTCCGAGGTGTTGACATGGTATGCCCGAGGAAAGGCTTTAAAACTTACAGAACGATGTTCATTGAACGAACAGTAGACCCCTTCACGAGTAGTATGCTCCACCTTTTCTTTGGCAACGGATGTACTTGGAGAGCTTATGGGATATGAGCTGAGTCCATTGCTTATTAGATACAAGTTGACGGAGTGAAGTCTTTAGTGTGGTGCCGTTTAATTCTTTGAAACTTGCTTTTGCTCCGCAACCCTTGTCTTATCTCGAATGAATTATTTTCCTGTCCTGTGGTATGCGACTGCAGTTATTGGCGTTCAGGAAAACTAACCAGCGCTGACTTTGTTCTCTTCGTGTCTGTGATAGAAGGAAATTGTGGTAAACAAACATTAGCTTATGCTCAGCACTGTGCCCTCGACAAGGATTCCAACAGGTGAGAACAGAGAACCTATGTTCCCTCACCAATTTAGAGTGAGAATCCGCAGATTCATGGATGCATTTGAAAAGTCGAAACCCATGAATTTTTTGAAATTATGGCAAGATCCAGAAAAAAACTACTTGATGTAGTGTACACCTTCATTTATCATCTGTGGGGACCACTAAGTACATACATTTTGCTTCAAGGGGTGGATATTATGAAATCCACTGAAATCACTGACATCTAGAGACTGACTCTCTTGAGCTGCTTGAAAAAGCTATCTATTTGCAGGCCAAAGCCAACTAATGATATGATAATTTTAGACCGATAGCAGGACATGTGAATATTTGCCCGTCTCAATTCCATAAGATGAAATCAAATGAATTTGGACAATGGATAGCCACCATCAAGCATGAACTCATTCATGCATTTGTATTCTCATCGTCCCTCTTTCAATTATTTCCAGGAGCAGGAAAAGTTCAGAGGTAGTTGTGAAATTCGTGTTGTAATGATTTTAAAGCCCTTCAAAGTTTCCGAGCGACTCTGGAGTTCAGTGGTAATACTCTGAAACTTAGCTGGGTTCACTTCCGTGTTCGCTTAGGACAAGTCCTTCTTCGTTCTCAGTTCTGTTCCCCTTTGCCTACCTCTTACACTCCCTCTCTCCTCTCTCCCACGTCTACTTCTTTTCCAACTGTTTGCAATTGTTTGTTGGCTGTGCGCTTTGCTTTTTGGTTACATCTTTATGCCTACTTCACTTTGTAGCCTCATCTTTATTCCTACCTCAAGGTAACACGTTAAGCACTTCATGATTAGAATATTCTTGTACCGTGCGAGGTTGTTGCTAGCTCGCTCGGCATAAGACTCCGAATGACTCCGAAGGGACACTGCCTTATGGAGCGTAAGGGGCCAGACGGGAATGTAGTGCAAAAACTGGGAAAAGCGAGAGGATGCCACATGCATGCTTAGCCAACGGACTTTAGCGTGTAGTTATTGCATCACTCTTGTCATAGTCGCCGTCGCCGAATCAGCCGTCGTCCTTCGTCCTGCCGAAAGGCACCGTTCAACTTCGAGTCCAGCTGCAGTTCCAGTTGGCATAACCTTCGGCGACTAGCCAGGCTCTTTGCGTCAGTAATTCTGGAAGACAATATTTGTTAATAATTATAAGCGTAAAGTTCATCGCATGTCGCATAGCAGACCGAACGATGTGGAATTTGGTTGATTGCACGACAATGAAAAACATCTTCTGAATTTCATCTTATAAACATGCATTTGCTCTCTCAGGTTATCTCATTTACTGATCTACGTTCAAAGTACTGTCAATGACTGTTCGACTTGTTCTTGAACATCTTGCGATCCTGATGTTCTTGAATTCTGCGATGTTCTTTTCAATTCCTAGTCTCGCCTCCCTCCCCATTACACTTTTATGCTGCCAATATTTTACGCGATGCCTAATTTGGTGGCTGATTACGATGGAAGATGTGTTCACTTTTTCACAAACCTGAAATATAGCCTATGAGATTTGTGATGAGAGGGTCGGAACGACTATCATCTTTTCATATTAACAGGGAAGGTGACATGTCAGTTATCCCTAATGTTGTCCATCGATTCACACGGCTAGACTGGGAAACTTCGAGTGGGGCGGTGAGTAACAACTTATGGTTCCTAGAACACGGTCAAGTTTTCACTTTTATTTATTGTGTCAGAGGGGGAGCAAAATTTCATCAAAGTTAAATCGGAGAGACAAAATGTGACGACTCAAATCTTCAGATGAAACATAATGTCTACATGATGGTCACACCAAAGGTTCGGGAAGAGGCTAGACGGCACTTTAACTGCTCAACATTAGAAGGAGCAGAAATTGAAAATCAAGGTGGCCCTGCAACGGCCTCTGGGCACTGGGAGAAACGAGTGTTTGAGGTGAGCATTTGCTCCAGTGATAACGGACCTTCAAAGATTGAGCCGAGCTGAGCTGGAAGCTAGGTAGATGGGTGGAAATTCGACGAAAAGGAATTATACATTCATGTATGCATTTCTCTCATAAAAATTAGTATGGTGAAAGTTAAATGTTGTGAATAGGTCGTTAGCAGAATAAAGACACGGGTACCCTCTACGCTAGTCCTTCTTGTCGTGCTGAGGATATTTCTGTAGGTTATAATACAGAAATAAGCAACTTTCCATGCACCCAGTCCATTAAGGATCGTGATATTTCACAAGGTAAAAGTGAACAGATCTGAAAATGCGGGTAGCAGAAATTATATTTACCCTCTGTGAAGCTGTAGCAGGGATGCCTTTGGCCTACTCTGGCTGTTATGATCCCATTGAGTTAATTTTCAGCGCACTATGTGTTCCTTGTTTATAGAATGGTACGAAAGGATCTTCCTTAAAGTCTTACTTTTAAGAACGAAGCAATGTCCGGTGTAGCTACGCAAGTGTATGCCATATCTCGTCTGACGCTTGCATTATTTGAAGATTCCGGGTGGTACAGAGTGAACTACGAGTGGGTCCTGAACCAAAATATTAGATTGCGTGAGAGCCCTTGCTTCTTGCCCAAATGAGCTTGTCGTTTCAGTAAAGCCGAACCTATGATGTGGGGGCAGAATCTGGGCTGCAATTTCGCTACAAAGAGTTGCTTGACGTGGATGAAGTTCAACCCATCAAATCCATATCCATTTTGTAGGGAATACGAAGACATTAGGTAACCAGTGTTTTTGCTAGTTACAAATAATTCATGTGCCCTTGTGGCACCCTTTTAACCCTTTGAAAACAATGCGGATTTCGACGTGACGCACCTATAGGACCACGCTCCCCTCCTTTTGCGCGCGGCTGGCACTCACCGGTGGGTGGCACTGTCCCAGGAGAAAATTCTTTCATTGCTTTACTGAATTTAGCAATTATTAGCAAACAGGAGAGTATGGTGGCACTCGAAGTTGGGTGCCAACCCCCTATGCGCCAGTCATAATGGCACCCACCGGAGGGTGGCATTGTCATCAAAGATTTAAACCTTTTGAGCTGTGTCTATGTTGCGCATGACATTCCCCTCGAGCCAACCTCTCTTTTACTTCTAATGAATTCTGTAGAGAAGCTCAAATTACCTATGTCATCGAGCCGAATTTAGTGGCGAAACTGCTGCACGCTGCCAGAGTAAACCTCGTGGGTCAAGTGGAGAGCTTGCTTTTTTTACAGCATTAACTGTCTTGTACAAGCAGCGTCTTCCAGAATTGACTTTGTGATTGCAATTATGCTTCAACAACGTTGTGTTATCCGAATTCGTCTTTTCAGGTGTAGTGTAACGCGTACAGCCAAAGTTCGATGTACCCTTCTGGCGAGACCAGAACCTCTCCCTCCCGAATACAACTATAATATCAAAGGTCTTTATCATGACAAAAAAGGAAAGCCAGTCCAAGGATTAGGAGTAGTGTACATAGCAGATTACTGCCCATACTACAGAGTAAGTCATGTTGTTGTTGTGTTCGGAGTTCTCCGATTTTCTTCTAGTCTAACGTTAGTATTCACTGACACATCGATACTCAATGGTTCAAATCACATTTTGGACTGTGAAAGAGTGAAAGATAAACATGTCTTTCTAAAAATAACAATTTCTTCCTAGCGAGCTATGAGATCAAAAATACGCTTAGTGTTTGTAAAGAGTCAGAAGAACAGGCCTCGGACTTATATCTACGTTTTTCATATATCCTGCTTCATTTGCCAGACTACCGTACCACCTTCTCCTCCCTGTCCCTGTGATCTAGTACCAAAAGGTTGACGAATAATTATTGCGGGTTTTTTCGCGGCTTCTTTCCCTTCGAAAAAATTTCAATATTGAATGCGAAAGTTAACAGAAATAATGCTCTCGCTTTCCTTAACAGAAATATGTCTAAAAAATCGTTTTCATAATCGCCAGATTATGCTCTATTACTTCGATAAATGTTGGAAGGTGGCACAGTCCTGAAGTGATCTCAACGAACTTCTCC